TCACCGCTGACACTTTAGATATGGGGATGTGTTCCTGACCTCACCAATGCAAATTAGCCAGAGCCCTCTACTTGAGCTTAGGAAGGGAAATTACCTGATTTCCCACATTCTGCACAGTTGCTTGGATGGTGCTGGGAGGTGCCAGGTGTCCCTGTCCCTGTGTGCTGCTGTGCCTGGTCTGTCCCTCTGTCTGTGCTTCGCTCCCTGCAGCAGGAGCTGGAACCACGACGTGAGATCATCCCCTGTGCTCCCTGCTCTGGTGGCAGCACCAGCTGCTCACTGCCATGAGTGCTGGTGTTCGTGGTGGCCCAGGCTGGAGCTGCTGCTCTCCTTTCCTTACTCTCTGGCTGCTCAGGGGTTCTAAAACAAATCAAAGCAGGCGGGGAAGTCAAGGGAGAGAGGAGTTTAAAGGCAAATTACCAAAAGTAATTATAAGCATTTTTTGTGTGGTATCAGGTGAACAAGCAGCAGGAACTTTCAAGTCCTGATTTGCGAGCTGTGTCTAAAGCCCTGCTCAGGGTTACTCCCTGTTGCCAGGTCTTGGCTTAGGCCTTTCACAGGCAAAACTTGATCCCAGCAAAACCTAAGGAGATTGGTGAGGGGGCTGGGCCCTGCTGCCCAGTGCGGCCTTGGTCCCGAAGCTGAGCATGTTGGGCAAACCACATCATTCTATGCCACAAATCTTTTTTATGTGAGGCTAAGTCAGGCAGTTGCTGCCAGCCTTCCTTTCTGACAGGGCCACCTCTCACACCTGGGCAAAGAGGCTGAAGCCAAACTGCTGCTGGCAGGCAGCTTCATGTCTGCACATTTGCGTGTGTCCCTGCATCTGTCCATGCTGGGTTGAATACTGGGTGTCAAGGGCAGGGAGGGCTCAGCTGAGCAGGACCAGGTTTTGTTTTCTTGAGCAGAGAGCTGGACAGAGGTAACGTCCCTTCTGCAGAGAGTTCTGGTCTTTTAAAATCACACCCAATTTACCTAGGTAGGAAATGCAGCACCAACTAATCAGCGTTCAGCGTGTCACCCTGCAGGTCCAGCCTGGCCAGGCTGCTGCCTGCTTCTATTGGGCTACTTGTCTCATTTTCTTTGTTTTAATTAAAAGTGGCCTTCTGTAGCAAAAGAGTAGAAGAAACAAACAAAAACAGCCAACATAAAATGCCTTTGAGTGGTGTAGGTGGAGGTGAGACTATTGCTGCTTGTGTCGGTGTTGGTGTGGTTTGTCTGTATGCACGGCTGTTCATATTCGTAGAGACATTCAATGCGAGACTTTATTGTGTCTGACTTTTGTATGTGGCCTGTGTCTCTTGGACTGGTT